TTCGGCAAAGCCTAATCTGGGGGCTCAGAGGTAAACCAAGCCTATCACTATGCAAGAACCTTCAAGAGAGGGTGATAAAAGTCTGTAATACCAAAGGTTGACCTTTTAAGATGGAATTCCAAATCTTAACAGGATTAACGTCACTTCTATAAGTTATCTTCGCAAGGTTAGTTAATAATAAGCTAAATAACTTTGTAATTTCAATTCTGAAATGCTTTGCAATCCTATGTAATTTCAATCCTACTGCACGATCCAACGTTCATTCTATTGATTATGATCCGTTTCACTATTTTAACTTGGACATTGTTCTCATCTCAATGTGTGAATTCTGAAATATTGTAAATACTTGTACTTGACAGGTGCTGCAGTTAAAATTGAGTGCAAAAACAATGACAAGATCACATACCAAATCGATGGTGTGACTGACTCTACTGGATCGTACAATATACTCGTACATGGTGACCGTGGGGACGATGTATGCGATGCAATGTTGGTGAAGAGTTCAGATCCCGAATGTGCCTCGCCTAACATAGGTCGCGACCGTGCTCGAGTCATCCTCACCCGCAACAATGGCATGACCTCTGACACTCGATTCGCTAATGCCATGGGATTCCTCAAGAATGAGCCATTGGCAAGCTGCCCCCAGATCCTCCAGAAATACCAAGAAGCTGAAGATTGAAACTATTGTTACTAGTCTATTGCATTCCTCCATAACATGTAAGCGTAAAATGTTGTATTAGAACTTGATGATGGTGTTGTATCGTCTTTAGCGAATCGTGATTAATTTAATGTGTTGTTATGTAATCACTTATCTGTGCTTTGACTTCAAATATTTAAAGATTGTCACCAGAGATCTGTTTGTGTCTTGTTGCTGTGAATAAACATTGGAAAAAACACTGTAAAAACCTCACACATTACACCACAAATCCTGCTGGAAATCCGAGCCTGTTTTTAGATTATAGTTGTGTGTCTGTGTAGGCCGTTAATCCCATTTGCAGTCCCATTTCTTACTTGCCTGCGGATCAAAATGATTCTTCCTCTCCTTCACGTTAACATCTTCACGTGGTTTTCTTCGAAAAATTCCTTTTTAGTACGTACCTCTTTGGAAACCCCAGATTTATAGAGGCTTCGAATATCTAAAGATCTAGGAATTTTAGCACCTACAGAATTTTACTCCCATTTCTTGCTTGCATACAGTGCGTGTTAACCACCAAAATCCTCTAATTTTGATTCTACTCACAATAACTATTAATTTTGCCTTTGCTGCATTTTGGCCGCAAAAATCTCAAAGTTTATTTACCAAAATTGGGGACCAAGACAGTAGTATTTGATGTAATGCAGTTAGGCAACGCTAATTTTTACTTCGGCAAATAAATGAAATGGTAAAATAAATAGAGAGAGGTGGTGCATCTTAGGAGAATATTATGTCAATGGTTCAGATTCTTTATGCTCTTCACAGGTGGTGGTGCATCTTCACAGAAACGGTGATTTAGGTATTCGATGGGAATTGTTGTAATGGAGTGTTACAAATGGTAGTGCGATGGAGGAGTGGAAGGTTAGCTTAGGAAGGAGATGCGACGGTGGGCTTTCCTGTTGTCAATGACATTGGCGGTGACGGTGGCTCTTCGATTTGGTTTTGGGTGGGTGAGTGGGGGGAAGAAGAAGAAGAAGAACATTTTTTCTTTTATTTTTATTTGAAATTTTTATTTAGTTAATGGGATGTGTCAGGATATGGGCACCCATATGTACATATATTATGTACATCAAGAATATTTTTTAGTTAATATAATTATTTTATGTGAAAAAATATAAAATTACTTTTTATCCCTTTTAAATTGGTCAAAGAGGTCAATTTTTTATGGTCAAATCTCGTCCATTTGGATTCCAAATGCGAATTTCTGAAAAGTTTGGTACTGTGATTGGTACAAATAAAAGGTTAGGATCAAGTCTGCAATAAAATTAAATATTGGGTATCGTGATTGCAATTCTCCTCTCTTTTTATTATGATATAAAATAGTTATATTAGTGGTATTTACTAATAAAAAAATAAAAAAAAAAAGTACTTTTTGTACGTTTTTTACTTTAGCTGTTTCGAATTCTTACATTTGGCTATCATCCAGAGGGCTCTCTTTCTTTCAAGAGTTAAATAAGATCATTTTCAATTGAACTGCGGTTTTTTTATATACAAGAGGTTAAGAGAAAATATTCAATGTTGGGCCATCACTCATATGGAAACAATAATTAATATAGGGTCTACATAACAATTGTCACAGTAGTAGGCACTTATCATATTGCTATACACGTCGTGCTCCAAAGAGCACAATATGCACAAGATAAGGTTTAATGTCCACATTCAATCTTCTAATCGAGTACCGCACACACAAATAGTCACCGATCCCAAGCCAACACGAGCTTTAAGCAATGCGTTTTGGTCAAATTTCTCAAGGGTCAACAACATTCAACAATTGCATAATAACAAGTAGTTCGTGTTGGCAATATTCTGAACGTACTATCAAAATTTGAAGTACTTTGGACAACCCATCTTAGGGCCCGTTTGACATGGACTTTCAGAAACTAAAATGTACTTTTGAGATTTAAAAATTGCTTTTGGAATTGTTTAATTAATTTTATAAAAGTGATTCTTCTAACTAGAAGCGTTCTGAGATAAAATCGAATGTGACTTACTCTAAAAGCTCTTCTAAAAGAGAATGTTCTTTTAAGAATCAATTTTTAAACACATAGATTACTTGAGAAGTTCTTTTATAAAAAACAAAAGCAAAACAAAATTCTTGGCAAATGGGCCTTAATAGTTGACACTTGTGATGAAACTCATAAATTTAGTATGGTACTGAAGACTTTGATATGTCAAAAACTTATGAAGCAATCACATCTCAAAGGTTGGGGGTACTAAATGTGTTGAAAAATACGAGTCATAGGTTGTCTATGTGGAGTAGCTCGACTCATAAGACATGAAAATGGTTGGAGGGAGTGATTTGAACTTGAAATTCAAATTTACAACTTCCCATAACCTCAACTCTCATACAACTTTTGTTATTGTCTAGGACAACAAAGAAAAAAGAGGAAAGAAGGCAAGAAAAAGTTTGAAATTCGTATGAAAAATCGCACATAAATTGGAAAGTGTTGAACCTCATTTTTGACATGGAAACACACAAAATTAGGCACTTTGGTGGTGAATAATAATCCCCTTCTACTGTGATCGGGGTTGACACCATTAGAGAACAAGAAAATACAAATTTTCATACTTGAAAATAGGGGCGGATCCAGCACTCGACAAGCTAAAGTGGCCGCCCGTGTTGGATCCGTCAAGGAAAAAATTTAAAGAAGATTTTATATTAAATATATGTAACTGTTAGTGCATAAATGTTAAATGATAGACGTTGTAGCTCAAATGGTAGAGTGCACACTCTCCATTGACATGGATAGGGTTTAAGTCCTTTCATATTCGCTCATTCTTTTAATATTTTAACAAATAATAAATAAATAAAAACTGGACCAACCTTGAACCAAGAAATGGTGTATCTTATATTATGAAATGCTTGCTTCGGATTCAAAAGACTTTAGGTTCGATTCCAATCACCTCCTCTCTTTCTTTTAATTTTTTTTAACAAATTAAATTAAAACTAAAAAATTATATATTATTAGTTTTCGTTTTCGAAATATCATTTTTAAGAAATTTATTGACTCAAATTATTATTTCATAATATATACTTTTATTATTATATTTTATCAATTTATTTTGTAAAATTAAATTTGGATAATTTAAGTATTGCTCTTTTTTCTTTTAATAGTTCGGAAAACATTGAGTNTAGTTTTCGTTTCCAAAATCTTTTTTAAGAAATTTATTTACTCAAATTATTATTTCATAATATATACTTTGAGTATTAGATTTTATCAATTTATTTTGTAAAATTAAATTTGGACAATTTAAGTACTGCTATTTTTTCTTTTAAGAATTCGAAAAACATTGACTCAAAAATAGTTCTAGTTCCAAAAATCGTTGTTTTAAAAATTTTGAATGAACTTCGCTTAAACTCGAAGTTTGTCTTTACTGTTTAATTATGTTTTACGTATAAACTTCATCTTGTCTCATTTAAATTCGTAAAAACTTGAAATTTGATCATACATATATAATTGACAAATGTATATATTTTTAATTATTTTGGATTGTGTTGNTAGTTTTCGTTTCCAAAATCTTTTTTAAGAAATTTATTTACTCAAATTATTATTTCATAATATATACTTTGAGTATTAGATTTTATCAATTTATTTTGTAAAATTAAATTTGGACAATTTAAGTACTGCTATTTTTTCTTTTAAGAATTCGAAAAACATTGAGTCAAAAATAGTTCTAGTTCCAAAAATCGTTGTTTTAAAAATTTTGAATGAACTTCGCTTAAACTCGAAGTTTGTCTTTACTGTTTAATTATGTTTTACGTATAAACTTCATCTTATCTCATTTAAATTCGTAAAAACTTGAAATTTGATCATACATATATAATTGACAAATGTATATTTTTTTAATTATTTTGGATTGTGTTGAATTATATTTTCATTTGTATATGACTTTTACATTTTAGTTCATTTATATATTCAGTGAATTTTTTTAAATATTATTTAATTAAATATTTATAAACAATCTCACTATTGCGGTGATCAACAATCGCCCTAGCTGACTCAATATTTTGAATCCGTCACTGCTTGAAAAGAAAGGTGATTTAACTATACAAAAAGATATCGAAATTCTTTTTTTAAGTAAGGTTCTTGATCTATAATTTATGCTAAAAATGATGTGTATTCTTTCAAAATGAATCACCATCTTCCATGTGCATATTAAGGAAAGATCCTACATTCCTTAAATATGAAAAGTTTTAACATATAAGGTTGCATTACTTCTCATAAAAAAGTTGACATTTTAAGAGGAAATAAAAAACTCATTATGGTACCAAAGTCTAAAAAGTTCGAAAAAACAATTCGATCTATCTAAGGCTCGAACAAGTTATTGAATTCCTAAATTGATATTTTCAAACGAACCACTATATTGTAGAAGTATGTTAAAGTTAGAATCTCACGTCATTTAAGTATAAATAGTTGAATTTATAGGTGCAGCCTTAATACAAGAAAGTCTTTTTCTTTGAAACATCTAAAGAAGGCCTTTTGCATTTGGCTTATCCTCATATTTGACGAGGGCTCTTTTCCATCTAATCTATGATTAAAAAGGAGAAGCAAACCGTATTCGTACTCAATTGTTACACGTCTAATAAAACATTATGAAATGATTACTACTTTCTATTTGGAAATAAATTTTTTATTTAATTTTACAATAATTAATACAACCAAAATAAGTAATAAACCTTTAACTAATCAACAACTAATTACTTAGATCACCTTCTATCTGAAATTGACCCGATGTCATTAACTCGTCAATCATGAAATGATTACTTATTGACAATTTATTTCTAACAAGCTTATGAATAATTTAAATACCTCTATTAACATGTTAAAGCAAGTCAATTAAGAGTAATACAATATATTAATCATATGGATTAAGCCCCTGTTTTGCCCCACTATTTGATATTATAATTTTTGGAACAGTGTTTTTTTTTTTGAAGAATGTGTGGTTGAAAAAGAAGGAAATTTTTTTGCTTATATATAATATTATTTTATTGGAGAATGTGATTAAAAAAAGAGAAAAAAATGTATTATAAATCTAATAGGGGCCAAACAGAGACTAATTCACGAACTATACTTCACGTACAGAAGCAGAGTTCACAGAAGAAAAACAAATCCTCACAGCAGGGGGTGGAGTTTTTTTTTCAATATTTTACTCACATGAGACCCACCCCATGTGAGTATTCTATTGGTTTTCTGCAAATCCATTCGTGTACAAATGGATTTGCTCCTAATTCACACATATGTATCATGCTAGATAGAGAGTATTGTCTATCAATACTCGAAAAAGAAAAAAGATAATACATTTTTTTCTCATCAACAATACTTTATACCAAAATGCACGTTGTTTATAATTCTTGACTAACTCGTCTCACACATATATCATTTTTGGTAGAGTGGATTGCCTATCAATACTCAAAAAAGAAGATAATACAATTTTCTCGTTAACAATACTTTATACCAAATAGCACGTGTTATATAACTCTTGATCCACTCATCTCACACATGTATTTTGCTAGCGAGGATTGCCTATCAATCTCAAAAAAAAAAAAAAAAGATAATATAATTTTCTCAAACATATACGTGGTATATAACCCTCGAACGACTCGTCTGACACGTACCTTTTTTGGCAGAGAGGATTGCCTATCAATACTCAAAACAAGAAAAGATAATACAATTTTCTTAGTCACAATACTTTGTACCAAACATACACGTAACACGTGGTACGTCTCACATGTGTACCATTTTTGGTAAAGAAGATTGTCTATTGATACTAAAAAGAAGAAAAATGTAATACAGATCTTTCCTAAACAATATTTTGTACCAAATATGGAGTAAAATGTTGTTATTCACAGAGGAGGTGGAAAAATATGGAAAATTAGCTAAGAGTGACCAGCCAATATTGAACCGTGTATCAACCACTAAACAAAACATCCTTTAATTTCCCCGAAAGATTTGGCGGCAACTTCTGATTCCCATTCAAGAACTTCAAAACAGCAATTTACCACAATATTTCAAGAAAGAGAAAAAAACGTACCTAAAATAGCAAACATTAAGGAAAAAAATATAGAAAAAGAAAACAGCAAAAAAGTCAAACACAGAAATTCACGTGCATAGGATATCAAGAATCTTGAAAATTTTCATTATGTATAAGTTCTAAACTTTGGAAATCCAAACAAATACTGGAGTTTATGAGTGTATGAAAGTATATATTTTAAACTTTTTATGACGAATGAATGAATGTTGTCGACCCGATGACAAAGGCAACCGGCAACAGTTGCAGTAGCCCCACAAATACGCCGGAGAATTCTGTAAAAGGTGAAAAGAAAAAGAAGGTATTTTTTTATTTTTTATTTTTTAATATTTCTTCCATTCTTTTAATTAATTTAGGGTATTCATTTTTATATTTCCTTTTTTTGGTGTATGAAAACCGTGCAATATTGAAGTCTATTATTCCAAAGATTTTTGGTTCAAAGCAAAATAGTAGAGAGAATTCAGAGGAGGATATTGCTCAATCAGATGGAAATGAACACGGTTTGGCGTTTCTTCTTATTCTCCACCATTACAAAACACGTTTTTAAAGTATTATGATATTAGTTTTTGTATTTTTTGATGTGATTTTTGTTTAATATGGGTTGTTTTGGGACAGATATGGATCCAAAGCCTACATCGAGAAGGCAAGCATTCCTCGAGGCCTCACCCTCGACAACGAAAAGTTTCCGAGGTATGAATTATATCAGTAATATTCGTCACGATATTAATATATTTTTATTGCAATAAGTATAATTATGTAAACATTAGATATTGTCACAATGATTCTCGAAAATTAATTTCTTTTTGAAGCAGTATTTTATGGGTGCATGCCACGTAATTAACGATGAAAATTTCGAAGAATTAAATCTATGTACTTGCCTTGTCTGCGCTTTGGTAGCTTACCTAACAGAAGACTAAATTCCATTTGATTATTATGAAGATATTCATTGAACTTATCAGAAAGTAACATAGTTTTTCACATTTATGAATTGACCCTTGTGGCCTTGAATTTAAATTAAATAATTTAATACACAGAACATGGGAAATCAAAACCATGGTAGAACTGATTTCTTATTGCTTCTCAGACCGACATAGTAGCGCCGGAATTGAAGGCCTAAATCTGTCAAATTTTGATCAGCCGATGTCACCAGCAACAATAGTTCAAGATATTCGGTATGAATTAATTATAATAAATCAGATTATGATTAAAAGTAGATTCTTCCATGTTTTTGCTGATAGGTTTAAGTTTAATAAAGAGTAATTTCTTTGGTAAATGTAGGGTTTTTGTGGCAACATGGAATGTTGGAGGGAAGAGTCCTGACCATGGACTCAACCTTCAGGATTTCTTGCAGGTGGAGGGCTCTTCAGACATATATGTATTGGGGTACACTATATTAACTTGCAGATTGTTTATTTATGATTTTAATATGCTTTATGGGCATTAGAAAATTGATGGAGAATTGCATGTCCAATAAAATTGAAAATCATGCGATTATATGTGACGTGTTGTAGTGAAAAATGAATATCATGAAGCATGGATCAAATTAGGTCCAAAACTAGTTATTCCATTCTAACTTACGTGACATGTTCGATACATTGGACTGAAGAGGTATAGATAGAACATTGACAATTTTGTCATTAAAGTCTTTACATTCATCCAATCCAATCCAATCCGGTACACGTCGTTAGTAATGGTTCTTACCCTAATTGCTTGTGTATTTTCAGGTTCCAAGAGATTGTTCCCTTAAGTGCTGGAAATGTATTAGTATCAGAGGACAATGAACCAGCAGCAAAATGGCTAACCCTAGTAAGCCATGCACTCAACAAACCCTACCATGATTCAATGAATTCTTCTGATTCAAGCCCAAATTCAAAACACTCAAAATCAAACGACATTTTTCACAAGCAATCTTTAAAAGCACTCAGCAAGAAACTTAGGGCAGACAATCATCTGCTTAAAGCCTGCAACTGTTCTTGGGACAATCCAATGTCAAATAAAAGGAGGGCAAGAAAATTTAGTGACCCTTGTGCTTCACCTTTTGCTCATGGTGATCCAAGTATAGATGAATTCCTTTCAATAGCAGAAATTTCATTGCCTAAACGTTTGAATTATCATCTTATTGCAAGCAAGCAAATGGTCGGAATTTTTGTTTCCATATGGGCTCGAAACGATTTAGTCAAAGACATTGGCCATCTCAGAATTTCCTCTATGGGAAGAGGAATCTTGGGCTATCTTGGCAACAAGGTTAGGTTTTTCTCTAATATTCCCTCTTTGTTCTAGCATATATATTGGTGAAAATCAAATTTAAATGAATAAATTTGTCATCCTCTTATACAATAAGTGGTATAAGAGGAGGCAAAAATCATGAGTTCAGTTCGTGCAGCCACCTATTTATGAAAATTGTAGAGCTTTTGATAAAAAAAATAAAATAAAATGTTTCGTCCTACAAGTGAAAGAGCATGTTTACGACTATATATAAATATATAAATGTGTTGCTGCATTAATGGCTTAAGCTTATGGACGAAGTGATTCAAATTATAACTTTATATTGGAGTGGTTAACAATCAGAAACTTAATGATACACTTATTGACAGGAAAGCTTATGGACGAAGTGCTTAAAACTTGTTTCCACAAGTCAAATGAGAAATGAATCTTGATACTGTTAGCTTTTATAATGATTTATTAGTTAGGCGAGTGCCATGAAATTGATGTGTGAAAATCAATTTTATGAAGACTTAATTATGATAAATTGAAATTTACCGATGATAAGTAATATAGTGGATTTCCACTTAGAATAAGCATTTCTACTATGAAGACTTAATGACTCAATCTTGGTATAACGTGTCGCAAAAGAGAGGGAGTGTAGATCAAATCACTCGAGTAGCATGCACTCAACAGGAATGACTGTCCAGAATTCATGTATTCGGCTCTAAATTTATTGAGAAAAATGCTTAGTTTGGTGTTGTTTTTACTTTGTAGGGTTGTATATCAATAAGCATGACTTTGCACCGAACGAGCTTTTGCTTCGTGTGTAGTCACTTGGCTTCCGGGGAAAAGGAAGGAGATGAGCTGAGAAGAAACGCCGATGTAGCTGAAATTCTCAAGGGTACGCAATTCTCCAAAATTTGCAAGAACCCCAATCGTGAAATGCCCGAAAGAATTATTGATCATGAGTAAGTCGTATTAATTTACTCCAATAATCATTTTTATCACATAAACAGCTTTTTGTAAAATAATTATTACTCTTATGAAATATTGTAACCTTAAAATAATTATTAATATTTTCGATATAATGAATTATTGTTACCACAAAATTTTCAGCCGCATGATATGGCTGGGGGACTTGAATTATAGAGTGGCTTGCAGCTATGAAGAGACGAGGCTTCTATTAGAGGATAATGATTGGGACTCTCTTCTAGAGAGAGATCAGGTTGGTGTCAATTTATTTAATTTGCTTTGACAAAATGAAATGAAAAGGACTTTCGGGAAAATACAAGTCAATGAACACCTAATGTGATCACAAGTCTAAATGGCCCCATTAGACCTTGAGAAGTCAACAATAGAGTCGATACTCTGATTGAATTCATTTATGAAAATTAATGGTTGACAAAGTTTAAATTAACATTTAAAATGATGAAACCTATCTTTTATTTACTCATTTCGTGAGCTCATAAATTATTACATACTTTTTATTCGCACATTACTAAATACTTACAAACTTAAGTTTTATGCCAAACAAGCACTTGTATACGTCATGCTTTTTTTTTTTTTGGAAAAAGAGAAATTAGGCTATAGCTATATGGTTGACAAGATTTGACTTTCTTTTTTATCGAATTCTTTTACGACTTGTATGCATCATGTTTTTTTAATGATGAGGGATAAATAAGGACATTTAACAACTAATGGAAATGATTGGCCTCTCCAGTTGATAGCATTATAATTTTTTTCTTAACACGACACAGTGTTGTCCAATTCAACTTATCTACTGCACGATAAATGAGTGGTTAAAAAGAAAGAAAAAGTAATAAATTTTGCAGTAAGAAAATCCTTGTATGTTAAGTTCATTAGTCGCATGCTCTTTTGAGAAAAAATGAGAGATAAATGCATATTTAGCATGTAGTATTAGACAAGACTTAACTGTTTATTAGGTAAGATTTTAAATTCTCTTGTCTTAATACTTTATAGTATTGTTCAACATACATTGCTGAACATGTCATACTGTGTTGTTTTAAAAAGGAAGAAAAGTTATAAAAAAATAGTGAAAGTAAATTCTATGGAAATACATCATCTATTTTTCTACTAATTTCCATGAATGATTTATTCTATTCCATAATCTTTCAAAACTATGATTACATATTGAAATATGATATAATTAATGGAGGTTTGACTTTGATTTGTTGAATACAGCTAAATATGGAGAGAGAATCAGGAAGAGTGTTCAGTGGGTGGAATGAGGGAAAAATATTATTTGCACCCACTTACAAATATTCACAAAATTCAGACTCCTATGCTGGAGAGACTGTCAAGTCCAAGAAGAAACGAAGAACCCCTGCATGGTCTCTCTCTCTCTCCCTCTTTCCCTCTTTCTCCATATTTTTTAATAATTGATGGATGAGCTAATGTCATAAATATGTCAAAGACACAACAAGCCTGCTTTCGTAAATTTTGGAACACAAAATAGGAATTTAGATTATTTGTGTAAAAAATCAATGAGAAGAAATTGTAGGAATTTCATGCTCAGTTCTTTTTATATATTATGAAAATTTTGATATATGAATATATTATTTTTTCGCTAATTATATAAGTTACTACAAATAGTTAACTATAATTAGAATCGAAGCTAAACATAGTATTAATTTATTTAAAAGATTAAAAAAAAAAGTTGTAAACATATAACATATAATTTGAATAGATGATCCCTTTCTTTAAAAATTACGTGTCAATAGATGCGTGTCGTCTCATGTCTAGAACCAATGCTTCTTAGTTATGTTTATGTTGTGTATTGAATTTCAGGTGTGATAGAATATTATGGAGAGGCAATGGCATTGAACAGTTATCGTATATTCGAGGAGAGTCGAGGTTTTCCGATCATAGACCCGTATGCGCAGTCTTCGCGGTGGAGGTGGAGATGAAGAACAAAAATGCTTCAAAATTTAGGAAGGGGTTTTCATGCACAGGCACGAGAATGGAATATGAAGAGTGTATTCCTCAAAGGCATAGCTTTTATGAGTTTTAGTTATATATATACTTCGAAAAGATTTGTATATATGTTTAGGTGTTTAGGATGCAATATTTTTCTCTCATTATACATACATATATAATTGATGAATTAACATATCCAATAATGGGATCTGCCAAGATACATTGCATGTGGCTCATGTAAATGTAAGTAACAATATTATAATGGAAAATTAAAGCTAAGTTTCCCACTTAAGTTAGGGTTCATTTGGCAGGACTTCTCATTTTGCTTCTTGAAAAAGAGATTTATGAAAAAACTATCTTAAGCAAGTTTTCTCTAAAAACTCTTATAATTAGTAAAGATACAAAAACATGCTCAAAAGTAACTTTTTAACATCAACACTCGGGCTACTCGCCATGATCTTCCAACTGGCTAGTTGTTGTCCCAGCACACCCTGAGCCTAAACCGTTCCTAGTGAAAACTAAGAAGAATAAACGCAGGGAAACTTGTGTCCTCTGCTCTTGGAGATCCAAACACTGGCTAACTGCAATCGTTATACAACCTAAACAAATTGCTGACAATGTGCTGAGAAGTCAATTATACAACAATTATGGACACAAATTTTGCTAGTAACAAGTTCGACAGTTGACTAATGAGTTAATTGTAAAGGAATTCTTCTCTCGGTACTAATCAAAAAGCATCAATTTGTCAACTAGAAATTGATGTCACATCTTTATCAAGCTCTTGATAAAGATGTGAGCGGCTTGAAATGTATTTGAAAGGCAGTGGTGATCATACGATCAACATAGGCACCATGAACGTAATGACAATCTACCTCTATATTTTTAGGGTTTTCAAGAATTTCACGATTTTCACTAATTTTGATGGCACTTATACTATCTGCGAGTAGAGAAGTAGAGCTTATTTGAGGGAACCCTAACTCTTATAAAAGACAACGTAGCCAAACAATTTCTGCACAAAGCTAATGACATAGCTCAATATTCTGCTTTTGTATAGGACGAAGACCCATCCTTGTTTCTTGCATTTTCAAGACATAAGAGCATAATCAAGATACATACACCAACCTATATTTGAACGACGAGAATTTCAGACAATCAGTCCAATCGACATCGCTATGAGCCGAAAGAGTAGGAGAAGAGCCAACCTTGCATCTATGAATGGCGGGCCAAGAAAATAATGAGTTATTGCTTAATGGCTGATAGATGTAAATGTTTTGGCTGCTAAGTTGGCTCATCAACTCTCGAGAAGCCTCAAAATATTAAATCATTGGTGCATTTGTACTTCAAGACCAAGAAAATAGGTGAGATGTCCAGAATTTTCAAGTGAAATGTTTAATGCAAAGAATCCTTCAATTATGGAATACTTGACCCTTGTTTGATCTCCATTTTTTTCAAAATAAATTTTTCTCGTTTTTTTTCAACTACACATCTTTCAATAAAATGATATTACACACAACTCAAAAATGTTTCCTCCATTTTTAACTACACATTCTCATCAATTTACTATTCAAAATGCATTACACACAAAAAATGAGGCTCGAATGGAAGAGTGTCTGTAACAGTAACGATAATATTGCCTAAATAGACGAGGAGAATGGTAACACTATCACTGGAGTGGCAAATAAACATGGAAGGGTTATTGGAGTTTCGACAAAAATCCAATTTTTTCAGGGCAATGAAACTTGTCAAACCATGTATGGGAAGCCTGTTAAAGTCTACAAAGACGACATATGTGATTTTTTGAATCAGAATGCACGCTAGGATGAAGCGTCATATAAACCACTTCGCCAAGTTCAAAATGTTTTCATTTTAGCCACCGAAGCAAAAATCTATTGATAATTGTTCGTGATTTAAATAAATGTACGGATCGTGACAAGTAATAAAGTGGATTTATCAAATTTCTACTATCACTTTGTAAACTAACATAACTTCAATTTAAATAAAACGGTAACCAATTATTAAATCAAATTGTGGTTTGTAACTAAAGTCTACTAAATTAAATGACGAAATCAAATTAACGCGATTGAGAAGATTATGAGGTTAGGTAGTTAGGTTTTTCAATTTCACTTAGGTTGTTTAACATGCATCTAATTCCAACTCATTCGGTCCGTTTTCATACATACCAACGATTGAATTAATCTAATGTACCTAGTGATCTCTCTCAAACAACACTAATCTTATTCATGTGTCCGAATTTACTATATCTCTATGTAAACTCACATACAGATGAATGCATTAACCTATAGGAATTCAATATGTATCGCATAGTGTATAATTATCTCTCCATCTTTTATAATACCTATGTTATTTATTTCTCGAGCTAGAATCATGCGTCACATCTCGGTTTTAGTACTACCCCTAAATCATTCAATTGTTGCGCAAGCAATTGAAACATGAAACACACAATAATTAATTAACACGTATTAAAGTGGCATAAAATCTTGAAATTAAACAAATATTAAAAAACTTAAGTTACATTATTTATCCTAACATAAAAATTATTTAGTCACTCATAATGTTAAAATCAAACAAATAGAAGCTGGAAAGGATCACTGGGTTTAATTAAATCCTCTTAGCAAGGGCGGACGCCCGCATTGAATTTTGGGTCACTCCCATATCCCATGTTTAAAAAAATAAATAAAACTGAAATGGGCCAAATAATTGGCCCAATCTTATATAACAAACATTTCCCATAATCCTTCCTTAATCCTTCAAAAAATCAGCTGGCCACCGCATAATGTTTAGCCGTCCATTTCCACCTTTACACTAACACCATTATCAGGTATGCTTTCGATTTAATGTGTGGATTAATTCAATATAACTATAAAATTTTTTGAAACGGGAGGCTGGGCCAAATAATCTATAATTGTGACTCTAGTCTTCCAATTTCAAAACATGTGTTGGATAGTGTGATTAATTTCAATCCTTGTACATGCTTCAATAATTATGCATTTTCTTTATCTTAAATTAACACTTGTTTATTTTATAGTGAAAACGGTCATGGAAAGATTTTATAAAAAAAAAATCTCTCGTAAAGGATAAATTGCGTGATCGGATTGGAGATAGGTGGATGAATGATAACCTTATTGTTTATGTGGATAAAGATATATTTTTAAAGATTATGGTTATATAAAGATATCAAAGTATGAAAACTCGTAAATAACAATTGTAAGGTATTTCATTTTTAATTTAATGTTTGTGTTATAATGTTGTTATTTTTATGCATTTGCTAATATAGTCCGCACTGAGAAACTTCCTGGGTTCGCCCCTGCCTCCGAGCTATTGTTAATGTTCGCCACACAAATTTCAACAATATTCTTTGTCTCCTTCCTTGTGTAGTGTATATATCTGTTGGGCTTTGATTACTTCATTCAATCACAGAAGAGACATAAACCAGCAAGAAGAATAACCAAGAACAGATATGCTATAGCAGGAAAGAAACCCCGCAGAAAATGGTATTTAAACAAGAAGAAAACCTCCTCCTCAAGCCTCTTTATTAACAAGAAACTTAACATTCAATTACATGAATCAGTAGAAAGAATTTCCAGATTAGTTCCTCCCCACTCTACCCTCCCTACCCCAGAATTCTACAACTCCAGAATTCTACTTTTCAGCGAAATAATATCCTATTTCTCTACAGACTT